ACGCCAGGTTACGGAGAACTATCGGATTTCTGGAGTTTCAGAGGGCACCCATACTTTAACAAGTGTGACGAACTGTCGACGTGCCGCAGTATTTCTACCAATACTAACTCTTCGAATTGCACTGCCATCACTGCGAATAGTGCCAACTCTTCGAAGTTTGTTGACAGTCCGGTCTCGGGAAGCCCTTGATACTGACTGACAATAACTCCACTAGTTTATACTGCTACTCGTGAAATATCTTATTTCAGAAAAGACCCACGAGAGCTGGGGGAAATGCGTGCAAGCGCGACTTGATCTTGTTGCAGCGCAGCATTGCACGCATGTGTGCCCCCGACCACCCTCCCACTCAGCTGAACTATTGCTAAATTAACTTGCTATGAAGATGCTCGCACAGGACCTTCGGGAGGGGGTGGAAGGGACCTCAAGGGCCTAAGGGGGGGGGGGGCCTCCCCCTTCCCGTCTAAACGATTGCTGAACGATCTGAAAGGACCCTTGCGCGGTTTCACCTGGCGGCCTACTGAAGAGGTTTGGTAAACAACGCCTGCAAGCTCCACAGAGCGAGAAGCGTCGACAATAATCGCTGTTGCTCAAAGACGGGAACATCCGCAACCGACGTGCAGGCTGACAAGCACAGACTGGGCCATCTCATCAAAATCGAGATTCGGTGAGTGCTGTGCCCGAAGTCCAACCCTGGCCTGGCAACCAGCCCAAGCTGCGCCGCCTTGCAGAGCCGCCTAAGTCCAAGATAGCCGAGGCTGAGCAGTCCAAGCCTGGACATGGACTGAGTTTCCTGCGCATGATGGCGATAGGCAGCGGAGGCCTTGCTCAGAAGAAGCGAATGAACTTCACCTTCCCGCTCCTACGGCCAAGGCCAAGGCGCCGTTCGAAGTGCACCGACCGCTACCCAGATTTGAACCGTCGACAGATTCACGTCCCATTTACGCCACTTGGCGAAGCATGGCCGTAACGTTCTGCCATTTGCCGGGATGCCTATGAATAGCCTATAGCACACATCCCATTAACACTGATTAGCAAGCTGCTCGATGACCATTGCCTGCGGTGAACCACTGGCTAACACATGCTTTTCTCGATCCTGGCCAATGCGGACATCGGAACCCTGTCCAATTGACAAACCCGCTCTCGACCTAGGCCGAAGTGATGCCAAACCAGCATTCGCGATCATTGCACGAAATTGCCAGGCCCCTTCGGGGTGCATCATGCTGCATGATCGGCTGTGAAAGTCCGGCAATATGCCGCCTGAACACTGCCACATCAGAAATTGCCCAAGGCAAGATGCTGCGATGTGAGGAACACAACATTCAAGCCAGATTCGCCGAGCACATCCTCAAACAACAATGCAAAAGGCCGCTGGTGGGAAGTAGTAGCATCCTCCGCTTTAGACTCTGCTTGGCAAGTCAGCACACATTCGGGAGTGCCTCGTCCTTCGGAACATTTTCGAAAATACATACTGAGGAGATACTCCTCCTGGACTCTGTCGAGGCTGTTACAAATGTTCCCATGCAGGCTCATTCGAGAGACTGTTGAAATGTTGCATAGCCACGGCTGAGTCTAGACTGATCGCTGCAGTGCAAAGACGATGTTTGGCAGCGTTTGTAGTAAGAAGTACAGCCGATGAAGGGTGCGAGCCCTCAACGCGTTGTTCAATGCATGCAGCATGAGCACAAGTTTCCGACATCGTCTGGCTTCTGTGGGCCACAGACTGCGCACCCCCACCCGAAAGGCCCTAAAGCAGACATCGTCGTGACAGCGCCTGGCTACAGCTCAAGCTTGGTCCTGGTCCTGGCCTTGCTCACTTCGCGAGTTTCGACAGTCAGGACGGGTGTCATTCTCTCAGAGTCGCAGCAAGGCACGACCGATTGTCGGCAGTGGTCTTTGAATAGATCAGTTGCTGTGACACTCTTGAAGTGCTCCTCCAGCCTGGCAAGATGCGAACTCTGCAAACTCAATCAAACTCATGCACACGGTGATCTATCACAAAATTCTTCGATTAGCTGCAGCCCAGATGCGGCTGGCTCTTGTGCATTGTTGTCTCCAGCAATGCAGCGATGGCCTGTCACGAAACAGGACATTCAACGAAGCCTTTTCTGCGAAGCCCCGCCCGAACCCCGAGCCTCATGGCTACAGCAAAGGTCCCCAAGCCAGGCTCCAGCGGGCTGGGCCTATGTCACGGAAGCGAGACGTGACTGGCCATCGGCCAACTGACAGGTCTAGCCAATCACGGCATTTCATTAGCCCTTCAGAAGATAGGAGGCCTCGCCTCACACTCGTGGCGCACAAAGGCTGCCGCATAGCCTCGGACCAGGCGTCGGCCCACCTGGCGACAGAGGAACTCTAAGAAGCGGCACTGCCGCAAGGCTTGGGCTGTTACTGACCTGCCTTGCTGCAAGTGGCGATGGCGGATCTGAACATGTCGGTGTCCACGAGCATCAACTGCGAGTGCAGGTTCTTGGGATTTTCAGGCGCGAACAAGTGCGATGTTCGACACATTCGATTGTCATGCAGGGAGCAGAAACCTGCAAATGTCAGTACTGGAGGAATAGCTGCCAGAAAATCCCTGAAGATCCTCGCATGGTTGCAGCGCTTAGTGGGCGTGTGTGTGTGTGTGTGTGTGTGTGTGTCATCTTTCATGCTGCAGCTTGCTTTTCGTCTAGTGCCCCTCCCTTCGTGCTGTCGTTTTGCGCGGGTGTCTATGGCATTACGGCAGCGATCCCGCTTGTTAAGTGCCCCTGTACGCTGTGTGCGTTGCATTTCGTATTGCCGGACACCATCGATCCACGCGAGTCACAAAGCCTGAAACCGGAAACACAAGAAAGTGCACCATCAAGACACCATCAATGCTGAGCTCACAGGCATCACTCTGGCACTTTGCCGCCAATGTGCCACAGTGCCTGATGCCAGACTGATCTCGAAAGCACATGTGGGCAAGTTCTCCGGCTCTCTCTGCATCTTGACACCGACATGACATGCCGTCTTAGAGTCTCGCCTCCACGACACCCACAGTGCCACTTCACTGAGCCAGTCGCCTCGGTTTATCAGAAAACATTAGGTGCAGCTATGCGGCAGCCGGCCACCAGCATACTTAGCCCGCGGCTTGTCTGAATGGGTACCGGGTCCATCAACGCCGATCTCCAATACTCGAGTTCTCCGCCGGTCACAAAGTACATGCCTGCTGCCTCCATGAAAGATACAAGGTCGCACTGTGACGACGTGCGCAACGTGGGACTGCGACAAGGCCAAGCTACAGAATTCAGATGGCTTATGGAAGTCTGAGGCAACAGTTGGCCCGACACCTGCTCTCCCTTGATGAAGATGGTGTGCTCCGTGCTGACCCTGAATCAGCTTGAATATAAAGCTCCAGCACTCTTCAATTGAGTCTGGCTAATCCGGCCTGATCTCCGACACCGCTTGGTGACAGAGCCTGTCTAACGTCCGCCCATCGGCCTGCACAGCACTTGTCACTTTTTCCCGAGACGAAGTTGCAACTCAAAGTGGGGACAAGCGATGTGAGACAGAATGTGCATGAACGTACTGTACCAGGCACAGGGACCAGGAGTCATGCGACCGGAATCTTCAGCTCTGTGCGCAAAAAGTGCACCTCGCGGAACTCGAGGAAGAACGGATGACGGCAGACAACAGGGCGGTAGACTGCCTGAAGGAGAGTGAATCGCACAGAACATCCTCTTTTCTACTAGTTACCAGTGGAAACGTGCCTCGCCTCGCGCAACTTGAACTTCAAGCGCTCCGGCACTTCGGCCAGAGGTTCGACATCCTCTTCCTGCACAAAGTACTGAAAGTACTGAATCCTGAAACGCACGAAGCCGCTTTCCAAGCTCAAAGCATGAACGCGCACTCGATGATTCTTTCGATGGCCTCAACCAACCGCCAGCTGAACTGACACGGCTGAGCGATTGAAGGAACTTGCAGGCCGAGTTTGGGCCACGGCTGCTAATCCAGTCATAGATGCACTTGCTCACTTCCGGGGGCACCCTGCAGGAGAACGAGCAGTGAGCGGGAGTGAGCGGTGGGCAGTGAGCGAGAGAGACCGGAAGCCACCAGCAGGCAGGTACGTCGGCATGCAGGATCATTCAGGGCTCTGTCTGTGCTGAGTCGCTGACTCATTTTGGGAGAAGTACTGGCGAAGAGACGCCTGCTGTTTCTGCTTCTCGCCTCAGCAATGCCAAATCTCAGCAAGCATCGATTTTTCGCCCAAAGGCTTTACTCCCCATTGCAAATCTGGCAAGCATGTCGGCAAGGTAGCCTGTCTCATCGTCTCACACTCAGATTTCGGTAGCAGAACTCTTGTTGTGGGTGAAGACAGACAAAGAGCTCACATCCCACGCATTCAGCAGTCAAGCGAGAACCCGGCTGTTGAGATTTCGGAGCTGCGTCATCTGACATGCAGAATGTCATGGACTGAATGCGCACAGTGACAAGCACGCACACGGCACACGCATGCAACAGCAGCGCTCCAAGGCCCCGCGCCGAGGACGTGATGTTGGAGACGAAGGAGGAGAACGAGATCAAGCCACAAATGATCTGAGATTGGGACGCGGAATGCTACGGAGCAACAATCAATGCAAACGCATCTGCATTCTGCTGTTGCCCGACTTGCTTGAACACTCTGCCTTAAAGCACATCGCAGAATCCAAGTGATGGTGCACATGACAATGCTTAAGTTCATGGCGGGCTGTAATAGTTGCACTTGAATTTCGCGGGCTTCCATGTTGGTCCATGCCGCACATACAGCACTCGTAATCATCGGTGCTGCAAACCACCGTGTGCTTACCAGACTTCGACGACTTGCCGTTGCAAAAGACCGGGTCTGCTTGTTGCGGTCGGGATTAGCCTTGCAGAACTGCGCCCACACCGTATCGGAACGCGACATTGCACAGCAACGCATCGTCTCGTTTCCAAAACTTGACACGACCCCAGGATTCTCTGCTGCGTCCTTTCAACATCCCAAAACGATCAAAAATGGATATTGCAGACTTGCGGGGGGAGCCCTTAAGCATTCAACGATCGACTAAACCATGACACACCTCCAATTTATGTCAAACCCTTGAAACGGCGGGATTTCGAAATTACACCAGGGCTTCATGTGAGCCACGGTGCAAATTACTGGCTTGGCGAAGGGACATGGACCTTGGGGTTATCGTTTTTTTGTGGACCCCTATCGTCCTGCAGATCAAAACCCATGTCGGGATACTTCGGGATGCTCCTGGCTGGATTCCGCTCGCTTGTAGCACAACTTTAGTACTGGAAATGCCTCGTTTCGGCTCTGGCTGGATTGTGCTCGCTTGTAGTGCACCTGTAGCACTCACAGACAGTCTGGCACGTTATCGTTTTTTGCGGATTCCTATCGTTCTGCAGATCAAGCCTCGATTTATGTTCATCTCATGTCCGCAGTAGACTAACTCTGCTATTCCATCATTTTGACGGCCGCTCATGTGAGAAGTCCAAAATGACGGGAGCACGATGGCCGGCCAAGAACACCGCGGAAATGTGACGGGAGCGACGCAGTAAATTGGATTTCGCAATGAATTCGATGCCCCCGGCACGGGACCGTGGAATGAATGCGATGCGTGTCGTTGCTGCTATGCTTGACTAGTTCGGACGTTCCTTGACTCAGCATGATATTATACGACTGTAATTCAGTATGTACTACTGTTGATGGACAAAATCCTGCATGACCCAAATATAGTATAGCACCATAAATCCCATAGTTTAGGTATATAAGGTCATGCAGGATTTTGTCCATCAACCGTATGATACATGGTTATATGGCACATGGGATTGCAAACATTTCATGATTTGATTTGGCTCATAAACGCGACAACATCTTGTAGCAGTTGTAACACATCTCTGCGAGAGGACAGCGCCCTTTCTCCGACACAAAAGACTTACCGGCCTTGATTGATCTGAGTTCGATTGCCTGTTCAAACTTGCAAGAATGCACAATGACGATCAAAGATGTCTCTGCAAGTATAACCCTGAGCAGCTGGTATTTCGTCTTGGTCTTCGTGATTCCAGCCCACGGAATCGGAAGATCAGAGGACCAAGGGAGCAGCGGAGACCGGAAGACCCCAGCACAGCAGGCTTCCTCTGGCGCAAAGCAACGAGCGCTGTTCGGGACATGGCAAGCAAAAAGAAAGCCGGCAGCCGATAGCAAAGACAGCAACTAAAAGGCAAGCAGAAAGCAGAAAACGTCGGGTACGAACCAGCCTGCGGAAATCACAGCAAATCATAGCAGGCCAAGACCACTAATAACAAAGAAAATTCTGCAAAAACTGAATGACAGATCCATCCGTTACGCAAATCAAACCGCCCAGAGCTTCCGGGAAGGCTGGTGCAGGGGACAAACATCCGGCGTTTCCAAGCAAAGCCTCTTCCATTGCGATCATTCAGATCAGAACCATCTCAAGCACATTCACGCTTGTTCATGTGCAAGACTTGACTGGGGATCTAAACAACATGATTCGGTTCTCCCCACGCCCCAACACTTTTAATGTTACCTGTATCTAGGGCACGTCCTCGCAGAGTGCGCTCAATGTCACTTTGTGTCGAATCGACTGTCGTAGGGACCGCACCGTGCAAACGGTGTAGATACGCTCCGAGGTGTTAACAGCATTCACCTGACAAGAACAGGAGTTGGCCCACTGTCGACATGCGCCAAGTTCAAGTCAGGAGACATGAGTTCGACCCCATACTCGTCTATGCAACTCTGCCAGAGTTGAAACTGTAGGTGCCATCGGACCCTTTATCCGGCCATCCGGCCTCAAGAGCAGTCAGAGTGGCTCAAAGAAGCGCCGCTAAGGAAGCCTCTGACCCATAGCTACAAGTACATATACGGATCTCAGTGCCGCAGGCATACCCAGCCTCGATCGAAGCCGGAGTGAACTGACACAACCTCGAAGGTGCATTCGTGTAGGCGCACGTAACAGCTACTCAGCTCGTCTGAGATGGGAGTTCCAGTGCATCCACCGTACAAGACAAGATCATCGACCACATGGTTGCGCTTCTTTCACCTCAAAGGTGTGCGTAAGGGTGCAACGCCCAATGGAGCGACCTAAGGTGGGACACGCCAGCACAGCACGAACTCCAATTTGAGAGCACAAGTCGTGGACTGTAGAGATCCCAAGCCGTCTCCATTTGCTGCTGATTTTGACTAGCAGGAGTAACTTCCATGTACATGTGGCAGTGTTACCGTGCAGTAGCAGTAGCAGTAGCAGT